ATGATGTGGCACGTCTTAATTGTTCGAAAATAAAATCTCTCGTTACATATAGACTATTTGCTGGTTCACAAGATTATTATTCATATTTTCCTTCTCTGTAAACATTGTTTTTATATTAATTATTTGAATAAATAGAATAGAATTTTAATCATTGATTATATTCTAATGATTAATATGATAACTTTGATTGTCTTATATAAAAGATTCGAATCGATTCAAAGCGGCATCTCGATAATCGAAAAATGTACATTGACTATTTGTTTTTATTATTCGATACTTTCGATTTCCGTCTAAGAATTTTGTATATAGCAACGAAGAAGAAAAAGAAAAGATTCGAAAGAAAATTTGGAAGAAGTAAACACATGGCTGAAAATAATGTATATAAGAATACGGTCAGAAATGTATAATATAAAGTAAAAAATTTCAAAAAATTAATTAAAACCACTGTTTATTTAAAAATTGCACTCGGTATCGAAAAAGTTTTAAATACACCTTCAATTAACAATAATCAGAAGTCCAAGATGACATCACGATTTGTTGACCAAAGGTCCGAAGACCTTTTTAATTTAAAAATGAAAGATTATAGTAAGTTCATTACAATTTATTACGATTGAAAACTGAATTTGTTTTGTAGAATTGGTCTGTCACGATAAATATAACAATAAAAATATTAACAAGTTTGCTACAATAGCTGATTTAAAAAATTCATATACATTTCTTGTGGAAAACATCAGTTTGATATCGGATGTAACAGTTCAATATTTGTATTCGTTACTCAATGATTTGGAGAAAAAAATGTAAGCTTTGTTTTCACTCAAAATTAATTGAATTGAAAAAATCTATTTCTAGGATTTCGTTGGAGTAAACTTATTGAGTACACAGTATATGATCTTAAAATGTATTTATAAATTCAAAGAAGAATTATCAAGTCCTGATGAAGCTGTTAAACAATTTTTTGAACAGTATGGGCAAATTCTTTAACAAAAAATAAAGTAAATTTTTTTATTGAGAATGAATGATCCTAGAATTAAAAAAGCTTTGATCGTGAACTTGAAAAAATTCGACGAGAAATTGAAAATTCACATGTAAGTTTATTTCACTGGAAAAAAATCTAATATTTTTTATTTTTAGGAAGAAGAGTAAAGTAGTCTATTATGGTTTTATGTTAGTGGTTATTTTCTTTCATTTATACCATCAACATTTATATTTCTAATTTTTGTTCTACCATCACAAATTTAGAACGAAGAATTTCAACATGTAATATCACATTATCGTCGACGATTTCATATATTTCTCATAAATAATTCTACACAATACTATTTCTTTAAAAAAAATCTTTTGAATTCTCTATAATAAAATCATTGTATGCTTACAAATTGTTGTATAAATTTTATTGATGTATTTGAAAATAGTCTAGGAAATTGGGATGAGACGAGATTTTCTTTCTTCGAAACTATTTAATTGTTCTCTATTTGAATTAACTTATTTTTCGATATTTATGTAATTATACTACTTAATTTATATTTTATTGGAATGTAATAGAAAATATTAATGAAGTAAAATTACTTATAAGTTAAAATATTTTATTTATCCTAATACTCACGTACATATAAGACTATAATATAATTTAATATTCACTAGTTAATTGATTCTAGCTATGTGTATATGTGTGTACATAGTCATTTCCCAAGATGTCGGTCAATTATAGCTCATTTGATGCAACTGAATAAGATCTATTGATGGGTGTATATATTAATACTGACACAAAAGTGAGTATCAATAGAAAAAAAAGGTAAATACTCAATAATAAATACACCTGTTGAGTTTTTGAGCTCCGATGATAGAAAATATAGTAGCGAAAGCATTGAATTATACATCATTCAAGAGAGAAAAATGAGATTTATCGAATAGCATACATATGAGCCTTGGCACATATATTAATGTGAATTAGAAAGGTAAGTTCGTATACATTTGCACATCTAGTGATTTTATTACATGATATTATTTAAAAAATAACAAACACACACGCTTTAAACTGTACTCTACGTAATAGACCTAAATGAGATCTATCGAATGATATGCATATCAGCGTGAGCACATATTTAAAAATGAATTTAGAGGGTAAATTTTTGAATATACAAGCATACCTATTGAGTATGTCTCGTACAATGGCTAAAACAATATCATAGATGAAACTCAACCATATCTTTTTTGACAAAACTGAACTAGACCTATCGAATGGTATGTATATCACCTTTGATACAAATTGTGGCAAGAACCTCGAATATAAATTTTTAATAATAAGCACATACCTATTGAGTTTATGAGAGACCACGATTCAAAAAGGATTACAAATATGAACAAATCTTACTTCGTTGTAGAATGAATTTTCGAAGTCTATAGTGAATACATCCATATTTGTGACTTTTAAGTCCACTTTATGGATTCAAATATATTGAATAATACAGCATTCAATAGCGTTTTTCATTCTGAGTCAAATGAAATCGGTTTCAAATGTAATCCATGTTGCGGAGTGAATATATATATATATATATGAAATATGTGCTAAAATGATGATTGTCGACGTTTTTCATGCAGGTGTACTGAAGTTCTTAGCTAAAAAGTGTAAAGGAACATATCAATCAACAGAGCAAGTCGAAATACATAGGAATATATGTTTGCTTGCAAGTTTTAGAGCGAGAGAATGAATAATCTTAGAAAATACAATTGTTATGAAATTGTTCCCATGGAGTAAAAAGAGTTTTTGGATTGACTTAGCTAATCTTCCTAAAAATAAAAAACATCAGATGCTTTTTTTCCAGTAAAATAAACTTACGTTTTGGCTCGAAAACGGTCGATCTCAGACGATTCCGGTGAACGGATCCGGTCGCAGGATCTATCTAGTTTCGTCCGGAACTGACAGAAATCTGGCAAAAATGACAGACGGATACGGTCACCGAATTCCAGCGTCGAATTCCTGGCATTTCGTTGCTGGTTTCGGCCAGAAACGGTCTGTTTTCTGCGGATTTCAGTCGAAAATTCACGATGTACTGCTTCAGAACTCCTCGACCTACGATATTCTTCATTATTCATTCTAAATAAAAAACATTTATTGCTATTTTTATTAAAGAATTTGCTCATACTGTTCAAAAAATTGTTCAACAGCTTCATCAGAATTTGATAATTCTTCATTTGTTTTATTGATTGATTGTATTATCATGAATTGGTTAGTTAATATGTATACTCCGACAAAATTCTAGAAATAGATTTTTTTAACTTTAACAGCTTTAATTAAGAAATGAAGCTTATTTGATCCCGTTCCAAATCCCTTAAATAATTATATATATATGTTTTTATTTCTTCTGATACTAAACATATATTGTCAATAATATATTCATGAGATTGATCAATGTTAATTATTATAGCAAATTTGTTAATTTTTTCATTACGATATTTAACATTGGGACCAATTCTACGAAACAAATACAATTTTTAATGGTGATAAGTTCTATTCAACTTACTATACTCTTTGACTTTTAACTTAAAAAGGTCTTCGGATCTATCACCAACAAATCTTGATGCAATTTTTGACTTCTCAGTGTTGTTGATTGTGGGAGTGTTTAATACCTTTTCAACACCAATTCCAATTCTGAACTAAACAGTGCTTTTTTTAAAATTTTTTAAAATTTTTAATTTATATTATACCTTGTCGGTTAACTCTTTATACTCATCGCTACTTTCAGCCATGTTGATCTAAAAAGTAGAAGAAATTACTTTAACTTTACGAATTGAATACGCCCACATCCAAGATATATACACGTGAACGATCCATATCAATGAATGAAGCAAAATTGTTTGTCATTTCATTTAAATCCAGATCGAGCAATCCGGCCCGAAAACGGTCGATTTCATACAATTCCAGAGATTTTATGGAAGTAGTATTTCGGTGAACGGATCCGATTACAGGATCTACCCAGTTCCGTCCGGAACTGATAGAAACCTGGTGAAAATGGCAGCCGGATACGGTCACCAGATCCGTGCGGTTTTTAGCTGGAAATTCACGGAGTACTGCTTGAGGACTCCTCGACCTGCGATATTCTTCATTATTCATTCTAAATAAAAAAATTTATTGCTATTTTTATTAAAGAATTTGCTCATACTGTTCAAAAAATTGTTTAACAGCGTCATCAGGATTTGATAATTTTTCATATATTTTATTGATTGATTGTATCATCATTAATTGATTAGTTAATATGTGTACACCCATAAAATCCTAGAAATGAATCTTTTCGACGGAATCGGTTTCGAATAAATAACAAATCTTACATTTTCTTGATTTAGTTGAATTATATATTCATTTATGTATTCATATGTTCCTTTTGATAGTAGACATATATTTTGGTTAATAAATTCATTTGATTCAGCTATAGTAATCAACCACGCATAATTGTTGCTAGTTTGATTAGAAAATTGAGGGCGTGGTGTGAATGCTAGAAAAACAAATTCAATTTTTCATTTTAATAAGTTGTGTTCAACTTACTATATTGTTTAAGTTTTAACTTGAAAGTATCTGTAGAAGTTTTATCTACAAAATCAACAATCATTTTACATTTTGTTTCATTATTCATAATTGGCTGGCTTATTGCTTTTTCGATAAAATTCCCTATAGGTAACTGAACACATCGATTAAATTAAAAACATTTACAAGTTAAACTTTATATTTTACTTTATCAGTTAAGTGCTTATGTTCATCACTACCTTCAGCCATTATACTGAATATGTTTTAATTGTTTAAGATTAATTAAATTGAATTTTTTGAGCTTCTTTTCAATCTACAAGAATTACTTAATGAAATTTATTAATTTTAATAATTGAATATATTCATCTTGAGGGTGTGTGTTTGAGTATAGGTTAAGAGACGATCAACGCCCAAACCCACCCACATCCACACCCTGTCAATAGTTGCAACCAATTCTACAAAAAAAATTCAATTCTTAATGCTAATACATTGTATTAAACTTACTATACTCTTGAACTTTTAATTCAAAAATATCTGTAGAAGTTTCATCTACAAATTTTGGTACAATTTCCGATTTTGTTTTGTTATCCATAGTTGGCTGGCTTATCGTGTTCTCAATAAAATTGCCTAATCGTAACTAAACACAGTGATTTAAATAAGAATTTGTAAAGTTTAAAATTTGTATTTTACCTTATCGACTAACTCTTTGCATCTTTCATTATCATATTCAGTCATGTTGATCTAAAAAGACTAAGAAATTTCTCTGAATGATCCTCAGTTTCATCATTACACCAAGGAAAAAGAAATATTTGAACATAGTCAAATTTCAAAAAATAATTTATTCAATTAAGAAAAACACTTGTTGTTTGACAATATCAAATAATCATTCAGTTGATTAGATAATAACCAATATAGTTATTGTTAGACGAGGAGTGAACATTTGGATTTGGATGATTCATTGTGACACAGCGCGGTAACTGTCATTCTGCCTTCATCGATATCATTTCATTACTTCCACTTTTTTATACAGATACTCACTACACTAATAGTAAGTGAAAATCAAGTGAGATACTGCGTTCGGAATGAATTCACCGAACGTAATCAACGACGAAGTAAATCGTAAACGCTCATATGATAGGTAGCGTGGAGACAAATGTACTGATAGTGACAGCCAAACGAATATTTTTCTTGTAGTATAATTTTTATATAAATAATAAATAAAGTGGCTTGGTTTTTTGGCTTTGATATGTATTGAAGTAATGATATTTCCGTGGCATTTTTGGTATGTCTGTGATGAGTGTTATTAATCTAAAAAAAGTAAAGAGTTTTCTGGGGAAATATTTTGTACTTCTACAAACAATATGTGCATGAAGTATCCTGACATTCTGTGTGACAATCACAAAACTTGTAAAGATTCTTTTGAGCTACCCAGGTCAACACTTACGACGATCGTAAACGACAGTAAAAGACCGTACCCGATGACGAAAACGACCGTAAACGACTTATTTACGACCGTTTACGACGAGTTACGGAACCGTTTGGTATCCGCAGTATTACGGTCGTATATCGTCGTGGTCGTAAACGATCGTATACGATCATCGTTTACGGCGGAGTACACAACGATGAAATCCTCAATGAAATCTCCAGAAATCTTCGAAAAATCCCCTAAAATCTATGAGAAATCCCAAGAAATCTCCGAGAAATCTCAAAAAAATCATAGGAAATCCCAAACACCCTTAGGAAATCTTTGAGAAATCTTCAAGAAATCCCAAGAAATCTCCGAGAAATCTCAAAAAAATCCTAAGAAATCACAAACACCCTTCGGAAATCTTTGAGAAATCCTTAGAAAATCACAAACACCCTAAGGAAATCTTTGAGAAATTCTTCGGAAATCTTTAAGAAATCACAAACACCCTTAGGAAATCTTTAAGAAATCCTTAGAAAATTTTCAAGAAATCCCAAGAAATCACAAACACCCTAAGGAAATCTTTGAGAAAGCCTTAGGAAATCTTCAAGAACTCTCTGAGAAATCTCAAGAAATCTTTAGGAAATCTCTAAGAAATTCCAAGAAATCACAACAAATCCTTCGGAAATCTCAGAGAAATCTTTGAGAAATCCTAAGAAATCTTTAGCAAATCTCTGAGGAATGACGTCGAAGCCAAGTAAAACCTAGAAGAATCATGATGAGATCCAAGTGTAGTTTATTTAACACCTGTTGAATTTTTTGAGAGGTCTATGAGAACCCTATAATAAATGTGAAGAAAGTTTATGACATCTAAGTGAAACTTTTCAGTAATGTGTTGGGAGTCGAGAGAAGTTTATGTAAAATCTTATGAAGTTGGTGAGAAATCTTCTTTAAAATAGTTCCCTGGTTGCGCAGAAATAACGTCACGAGCTCAATAATTAAAAATGGTATCCTAAAATTGCAATAGACCCTTATGAGTGTCTTTATGTATGTAATAAAAGTTATGCTCACGTAAAAAAATCTGGGTACTAGACCGCTCCGTGACGAACTATCTGAAATAAAAAAGATAATATAGAGAAACTCACAAAATCAAAACAATTAAATTGGATGCTTGAAAAGCTGTAACTTCATAACACATTAAATTTTGTTCGGTTCTCTCAGAAACCTATTCTTTAATGAGCACAGAATAGAAATCATTAGAATGTGAATTTAATGGAGACATTTCGGATTAAAATTCATGTTATTTCTAATACTTTTAAACACAGGCTTTCTTTTTATCAATTACTTTAATTTTGAAATTTCTACAGATTTTTAACTTTTCATTTCGGGGGGGGGGGGTCTAATGCACAAGAATTTATAACAAGCATACTCACATACTAAAGACAAAGTAAAATATAAAACTAGTAAACCAATAATTCACTCTAAGTGATACTAGAAATAAAAAAGAAATAAGGGTATATATGTAGATAAACTAGCAAAACAAAACGGTGAATGATTAGTGGACAGAAATTCTCGATTTAAGATTTTAAATTTCTATTAAAAATCTTTAAAAAAAATTCCGAGAAATTTGACTTTAGTATTTGTTCGAAGGAGGGGGGTATGATGCACGAGATTTTATAATATGTCTACTCACATACTAAACATCCAGCGAAATATGCGATCAGAGATACGATAATTGATTTAAGATGATAACAAAACTAAGAATGAAATAAGGGTATATATGTAGCTATAGTTGCAAAACAAAACGGTGAATGATTAGTGGACAGAAATCCCATTTCAAAGATTTCAAATAAAACTTTTATTATTTCTGAAAGATTTTTGGAACATTTCATCTATTTATTGGAACTTACTTTTAAGTGCTCCGCGATTTCCATAAATTTTCCCATCGATTTCCAAGGATTTCTCAAAAA